TTCTTGAGCTTCTTTTTGCTCAAGGCTAGCACTCTACCACTTGAGCCACAGTGCTACTTCTGGCTTTTTCTGTGTATGTGGTGGTGCTGAGGAATCGAACCAGGGCTTCATACAAGCTAGGCAAGCACATTCCTAGTCCCACAATCACATTTTGCTTCATCTTTTCCACAGCACTGATTATCAATTTAGTGCTGGGCAACGGTGGCTCATGCCTGTAATCCTAGCTACTGAGGAGGATGAGAGGGGAGAATCATGCTTTGAAACTAGGCTGGACAGGAAAGTCCATGAGACTTTTATGTCTAATTAACCACCAGAAAACTGGAAGTGGAGCTGTGGCTCAAAGTGGTAGATGCTAGTCTTGAGCAAAAGCAGCTCAGGGACACTACTTAGGCCCTGAGTTCAAGCCCTACAGTCAACACACACACACACACACACACACACACACACACACACACACACACACCAATTTATTGACAAAAATGCAAATAAACCTACATTTTCCACATTAGCTAGATATGGTTACAAGCTCATGCTTATAATTCTAGCTGGAGGCAGAGACTGGGAGACTCCACAATTTAAAGCCAACCGAAGTAAAAAATTAGTGAGACCTTTCAAAGTGGAGCTGTGGCTCAGGTGATAGGTAGAGTGCTCACCTTGAGCTGAAGAGATCAGGGACAGAGCCTAGGCCCAGAGTTCAAGCCCCATGACCAACCAAAAAAAAAAAAAAATCAGTGAGACCCAATCTCAACCAATAAGCAGAAAAAAAAAGCCAGAAGTGGCGCTGTGGCTCAAGTAGTAGAGTGCTAGTCTTGAGCTGAAGAGCTGAGGGACAGCGCCCAGGCCCAGAGTTCAAGCCCAACAACTGGCAAAGAAAGAAAGAAAAGAAGAAATTATTTTGAAGTCTGGGAATGTGGCTTAGTAGTAAAGTGCTTGCCTCGCCTGCAGGAAGATTCGGGTTTGATTCCTCAGTACCACATACACAGAAAAAGCTGGAAGTGGTGCTGTGGCTCAAGTGGTAGAGTCCTAGCCTTGAGCTTCGAAGCTCAGGGACAGTGCCCAGATCCCCCTGAGTTCAAGTGCCAAGACTGGCGCCTCCCCCCCCCCAAAAAAAAGACCAACCAGGTGAAAAAATTTCAGAAAGACTATATCTCAAAAAACAGGCCAGGCACCAATGGTTCACATCTGTAATCCTAGAGGATTGTGGTTCAAAGCCAGACAGACAGAAAAGTCCACAAAACTCCATCTCCAAAATAACCAGCAATGAGCCTGGTTAGAAAATTAAGTGGTAGAACACCACCCAAGCAAACAAGGCAAAGAAGCCTGAGTTTTAAAAAAAAGTATATTTATTCATACATGTATATATACGTATATACACACATATACATATATAGATAAACACACACTATTATATATACACACAAATACTATCATTTTCAAATATCTACAAAGGCGATAGGGAATTGTTTTCTAGATTTAACAGCTTTTGTCTACAATCTTAAATTCATTATACCCTAAAATCCTTAAGATTATTACATTTGTATGCACTAAAGATACATTTAAGCAATATTAAAGTTTAAGCAACAGTAAAGTTACATATGCATGAAATTTATATTGCTTTTTTTTTTTACCTTGGAAAAGACCTATTTTGTTTCAAAGGTTAATTCTACTAATGAGAGGAAATACTATTGTCACAATCCTCCAGCTAGAAATATCTTTTCTAGTAAGCTTACTAGAAAAGTAAGCCTAAACATGTCACCTATTTTTCAAACTCAGAAAAAGAGCCCCATACCAAAGCATCTCTAAATTATTAAATTTATCTTGAAACAAACATGTTAAGAAGGACTTCCGAAAGATCTGGATACAATCCTAACAAACAAGGGAGGCCTACGTTTAGTCCCTGCAATCCAAGAAATTAATACTTCAAATGCTCCTAGTTAAATGACAGAAGTATTTATGAAGCATTCTGAAGGCTCTGGCTAAAAACAGGAAAACATAATAATCAAAAGCTTTTCCTGACAGTTTCAAAAGGACCCTAGAAGGAAAATCCAAATTTAAGTGACAAGGAAAAAATACCACCATTGCTGAAGGGGTGGCAAAGGATGAAACCATTTCCCTCTACGTTGTCACCACTGTGGACAATGACACAGGAGCCAAGCAGCTTCCACGCTGAGGCCCTGGAGACCCGCTATCAGTCCTAACCTGTTGGCATCTATGGATCTAAGTATCTGCACCACTTGTGAGATGAAAGCTGTGTGCCAGCCAGCCAGCCAGCCTGCCTTTGCCCTGGCTTCGTTTACTACTAACGCCAACCTTCCAAGTGCACATTATCAGATTTACAGATGATTCAGCTCAGATGCATGATACCGGCTAATTTTTAGGGCAGATTACTTGCCTGTTTTTACCCTAGCTCCTGGCTTCTTAGTAGAACCCTGACCTTTTCTCTATGTAAAGGGCTAACACTAAAGAAAATCCCTTATTTAACCTAGCATTTAACAAATAATACAATTTCAACCACAGCATTTTAGCCATTTCTGCTCCCCTTCCCCTCCCAAAAATCAATTAATATCAGGTTCCACATTAGCATGCATCAAACGGTGGGCTAGGCTACTTATTAGCATTCTTGAGCATTTACCATAGGCTAGATTCAGATTCTAAGTGCTCATAACAACCCCTTAATGGAGGTTCTACCATTCTTACTTTTATAGGTGAAGATGCTGACTCCCAGAGAACTAGAATCATTTACACAAGAAGAAATAATGGTAAGCATTCAACAAGTCATGCTCTTACTTTCCTCCCTCCCAAGAAAATTTACACAGGGTTTCTCATGAAACACTCTCAACATTACGACCTGAGCCTTATCGATCTCAATTTATAGATGAGGAAATGGGGGCGCAAAAACTGATTTCTATAATGTCACAAAATAAAATTTGAATACGTTTGTTTCACAATTCTCAACTACTGATAGTAATACCAGCTCAAAGGAAGGTACATAAAAGGCAAAGAAATATCTACATATTTAGGACAGTCAACTGGTTTTTAAAAAAATGCCTCAATTATCTACAAGTTCTTCTAAAAAATATCTATATTTTCAAAAAGGAGAAAATATGTTCAGAAAGTAAGATTTAAGAAAAATAGTCTCTCAATGGGCAAAACAATTGTGGGGCAGAAAGCTCCCAAAGTTTTCAGACTTGTGATATCTTTTCTTACAAAGCCTTATGATTCATATTGGCCATAAAATACAGGCACAAGCACGCAGCACAGTGCTACCTTATAACACCTTTCACCTCAGTAAATAATGTCCAGGTTTATTACTCATGCTCTTCATCCCATGACATCAAGAAAACCAACAGTCAAGAATCCGCCTACTGTAGGCTACTCTCTTAAATTTGATGACATTCTGAAAATAGAAGCTCACAAATGTACACCAAGTTTCAGATGCTAAAGATGTTTCCACCAAGAAACAGCTACATGAGTGCATTCAATCCTGGCTCATGCAAAACAGATTCACCTTTATCAAATCTATAAAGACAAAAGAGGAAAAAGCCCTTAGAAAAGCAATTTTCCATACCACCAGACAAAAACATTACTGCCTTCAAATGCAGTTTCTCAAGATCCAATTAGTCAGTGTAACTCCTCTGCAGTTACAGACTTTGGTATTTCAGAACATGTCTTCCACCAATTATCCATCCAGACTAAAACTGGGTAATATAATCATGCCTCTCCGTCATATTTCGTACATATGCCAGGGATCTCAGATAGCAAAACATATGACTGCATCTTTTAAGAAATGTCTATTTTAAAATTATCAGTCCTATTAGACTATCAAGCTCATGTTCTCAACAATGGAAAAACAAATTAGCAGTTAGCAGCTCTACTGCAACTCCTTTCTACCAGAGACAGATTTTGAAGACCAAAGACAGGTGGGGGGGGGGGGGGGGGGGGAACTCAGGTGATGAGTAGCTTTTATAGCATCTTGCAACCCAGGTTTAACAAAATAGAAAAAAGGAAAAGGGGAAATTGATCACACATAAGGCAGAAGTCAATCCAAAGAATGGGATAGTTAATACAGCCAGGGCGTAGGGATGGGGGGAACCATTTATTCAGTTATTCAACAATTAACAAAAATGCCATCGCTGTGTCTGAAGCATTATTTTAATAAGGCCAAAGGAAGCAAGTAATACGTGAGTAATTACCTAAAGCGTCCAAATTCAGTGTATACAATGGACAAACAGGTTCTCCTGCCAACCTCCTAAAGCAGGTTTTGAAATAGGGTGGAACTTTAAGAAGCCTAATGGCTTCCTAAGATTTCATCAAACTCAGCTGGTTTGTTGTGTATTGAAAAACAATGCAGTTGTTTCACTCACCTGCCCCCCTCCCCCCACACACACACACCCCCAAAGGCTAGAAAATAATCTTTAAAGATCCTTTCCTTCCCTGTAACTGAATCTGATCCAACCACTTATTATCAAACCTGGAATACGACCCATCTATCTACCTTCCACCTTCTCATTTCCAATTCCCCTCAGGTAATCCCTTACAAATACCTATTTAAACAAGCACAGCTACTACCCACAATTTAAAAAAAAGAAAAGAAAAGAAAAGAAGAAAACTTCATTCCTGACGCTCAAGAAAATAAGAAATTTCTCAGGACAGCAAAAAAGGGGGAAAAAAATCAACAACAACAAAAACATCAAGCTAACACCCTCCCTTAAAACCTTCCATCTCCAAAACCGTCATGTCACCAAAATAAAAGCCAGACACCCCTAGTAAGCAAATATTCCAAGACTTCACATGTAAAGACCAAAATCACATATACATATATACATACATATATACATACATATGTACATATATACATATCATGCCAATAACACAGTGGAAAAGAAAAAGGAAACACATTTTTCATAAAGCCAACCACCACCACCACACCCTCAACTCTGCATCTGCCAACCCATCTGACCCGGGGGTTGGGGGGGGAGGAGGAGAGGGGCCTTTATTACCTTCATTTTCCATCGGAAACTGCCCTCGGGTGGATGGCTACAAAAGTCTTTTGAGTGTCAGCCTCGGCAACACAACTGGGAACAGACAGAGGAGGAGGAAGAGGAAGAGGAGGAGGAAGCGCCAAGTCCCCCACCACCAACCCCCACCAGGCTGGAATCTCCCAGGCTGTCACCCCCGCTCCCGGCCTCGGGTCCCACGGCTGACTCCCACCACCCCAAGAAGCAGCAGCATCTGCAACAACAACGAGAAAAGAGAGAGAGAGAGAGAGAGACCCGGGGTGAGGGTGGGGAGGGGGGAGGAAAGGGGGAGGGAGAGAGGAAGGGAGGGTCTGCGGGAGGGCGGGCGAACCCCCCCCACCACACACACACACACCCCCGCCCCGAGTTCACACCAACCCCGCACCAGTCAGTCAGTCAGTCAGTCAGTCAGTCAGTCAGTCAGGGCATCCCTCGGACGCCCCCCCCCCCCACTCCACACACACACACACACACCCCTTCCCTCAGGACCTGGAAGTTTCTAGAAATAAAGGAAGGTGGGAGGGGAGTCGGGGGGGGGGGGATGTCAAGACATCCTAGGTTATCCCGCCGAACCCCCTAGGCCTCCCGCACCTCCGGGCTGCGGGGACTCACTGGCGGGGGGCGCCCCGCGCACGCTCCGCCCTTCCCTCTCTCTCTCCCTTCCTCCCCGCCGCTGGGCCGCCCCGGCGCGTCCCGCACTCCCGGGGAGGTGTGGAGGAGGAGGGGGGGGTGGAGGGGGGAGCCCCTGCGCGTGCGTGTGCGTGTGCGGCTAAGGGAGGAGGAGGGAGGGGCGCGACGCGGGGCGGGCGGGGGGGGAAAGGCCGAGTGGAAGACGGAGCTTTGTCGCCACGACTTCCGCTTGGGGAGAGGCGCGCGCAGGCGCAGGCGCGAACCGGAAGTGAGTGAAGGCTGTCACGGGAAAGGCGGCCCGGCGCGGCAGAGGGATGCGGTGTGAGACGTCCGTTCCGGAAGAGCGCGAGTGCGCGTGCGCGCCGGGCCGGCTTCTTTCGGAGGACCGTTTTCTTCTCGTATACCTCTGCTCACCCCGTCACCGCGCCTTCTCCCCCCCCCCCCCACCCCCGAAACCAGGTCTGTCGTCCGTTTTTCGACGCACCCGCGGAGCTCGGAGAGGGTTGGTAGACCCTCCCCACCCCCGTCACCACCGCGCCCGCCGCGTGCGTGCCTGGGAAGGAGGGCCGCGCGCGCGAGGCCTGCGCGGGCCGCGCCATCATGGCCGCGCTTCCCCGCCGTCCGTGGGGGGGGGGGGGGGGGTCATGAACCTGTCGGGTCCGGCGGCTGGCACCGCATGTCGGTAGGCGGCCCAGAGGGTCACCAAGGCTGGGGGTTCCCACACACACCCCACCCCAGCCCACCCCACAGTCTTCTGGCTGAGATCAGGTCATGATGGGGAGGGGGGGGAGGAGGAGTTCTGGGAAGAACGAATTTCCAAAGTTGGGGTTCCATGAAGGTCTCCTGAACATCATCATCATTTTATTATCATTATTATTAGTTGGTGGTGGGGCTTGAACTCGGGGCCTGTCCCTCAGCTCTGCAGCCCAAGGCCAGCGCTCTACCACTTTGAGCCACACAGCGCCACTTCTGGTTTTCTGAGTGGTTTAACTAGAGATCCAGAGTCTCACGGACTTTCCTGCCCAGGCTGGTTTTGAACCATGATCCTCAGATCTCAGCCCTCCTGAGTAGCTAGGATGACAGGTGTGAGCCCACCGGTGCCCGCCTATATTATTTTTCCAGAGAGAGGAGGAGAAGCAGGCTTGGACAGCGACGAGAAGAGCAAATGGTTCCAGCGATCGAGGCCGCAGGGTGGGCATTAGCCTGAGACATTGTCTCTGCCACACACACACAAACGTGAACCTTCCCACAGACCCACCTTGACACACTGACCCTTTAGGGGATGGACGATTGGATTGGTAACTTGGTGAGCCAGACCCAGGTTTAAATCTCTTCCATATTGTCCACTAGAGGGCAGGGCTACACCCGCTCGGTTCTTGGTGCATCCCTGAAAGACGCCCCTCCCTCCAGAATTTCTCACCTACACACCAAGCAGTTCTCCCCCCTCCCTCTCCCTTTCTCTCCCTCCTTCCCTCCCTCTCCCAAGGAAGAAAGAAAATTGGCCAGGCACCGGTAGCTCACACCTGTCATCCTAGCTACTCAGGAGGCTGAGATCTGAAGATCGCTGTTCAAAGTCAGCCCAGTCAGGAAAAGTCTGTGAAACTTTATCTCCAATGAAACCACCAAAAAACCAGAAGTGGCGCTGTGGCTCAAGTGGTAGTGCTCACCTTGAGCTGAAGAGCTGAGGGACAGCACCCAGGCCCAGAGTTCAAGCCCCACGACCGACCCCCCCACCTCAAAAAAATATTATACATACAGTGACTTACACTAAAATCTTAATTTTGGTTGCCTAAATTATGAAAGCAACTGTCCCTGTTGTTAAGCCAAAGAAAAGGGGGAAAAAAGACTGGATAAGACCAACTTTATGCATGATTGTTACATACTTCAGTCATCATACAAATTCCTAGGCTCAGAGGCCTCAAAAGACTCAGGAGTGATAGCTAATTCATTTAGCTGATCCTTGAGCCTCTTCAACATCTCTGTACAGAATGACTTTCTATACTGTACCACACCATTCCCACGAAGCTAACCAACATCAATACACCAACTTTAACTTCCTATGTATATGAAAAAGCACATTTGTTATTTTGTACACGAAGGAGAGCATTAACATTCAAACTGGAAGAGAGGGGAATGTTTAGGTTGCAAGGTTTCAGGTTTGTTGAGGGGAAGGGTTTTGTTAGTTTTACTTGTTTTGGTTTGGTTTGGTGTGTTGTGTGTGTGTGTGTGTGTGTGTGTGTGTGTGTGTCGTGGAAATTGAACTCTGGGCCTGGGCGCTGTCCCTCAGCTCTTCAGCTCAAGGCTAGTGCTCTACCACTCGAGCCACAACGCCACTTCCAGCTTTTTGTTTATATGGTGCTGAGGAATCGAACCCAGGACCTCATGCGTGCAAGGCAAGCACTCTACCACTGAGCCACCTTCCCAGCCCAGGTTGCAAGCTTTTGAAGCCCTCTTCCGTCAGTATCTCCTCTGACCCAGCTAACCTGCCATGGGATGCCACTCTCCACCTCATAGGAAGGGGACTAATGTATAGTGAGAATGGGTGTTCATGAAATAAACGTGATTCCACTTTGACTTTGCTGCTTGCTGCCCTCCATCAAGCTAAAACCCAGAACTTCAGGCTGGGAAGGTGGCTCAGTGGTAGAGCGCTTGCCTTGCATGCATGAGGCTCTGGGTTCGATTCCTCAGCACCACATAAGCAGAAAAAGCCGGAAGTGGGGCTGAGGCTCAAGTGGTAGAGCGCTCGCCTTGAGCTGAAGAGCTGAGGGATAGCACCCAGGCCCAGAGTTCAGGCCTCACAACCGGCAAAAAAAACAACTTCGTTCCTGCAAAGCAGAGGAATGAAGAGATTCTTATTTTTTTAGCCTATAAAAAAATCAGTATGTGTAGCCGGGAGCTGGTGGTTCATTCCTGTCATCCTAGCTACTCTGAAGGCTGAGATCTGAGGATGGCAGTTCAAAGCCAGCCAGGGCAGAAAAGTCCATGAGACTCTTATCTCCCATGAACCACCAGAAAACCAGAAATGGTGCTGTGGCTCAAGTGGTAGAGCGCTTGCCTTGAGCCGAAGAGATTAGGGGCAGCACCCAGGCCCAGAGTTCAAACCCCACAACGGACCCTCAACGCACCCCCCCCAAAAAAAATCAGTATGTGTCTCCAAAACCACAAAAGAGTTAAATAAGACACTTGGTTTCAACAGGACTTAAGTTCTACTCAGAATTAAGAGCTACCCAGAGCTGAGAACGTTTCACACCCAGATTTTGAGCCCAGGTGCTCATTTGATATCAAAAGAACAGGTCAAGATCATTGATAACATGCACGAGTGTAATTTCAGCCGAGCCTGGTGCTTTGGATTTGGACAGCCATGCATATTAATACCTGACAAAGCACTGTAGCTCTCCAGCACAGTCTTCAGTCATTACCTCAGGAATCAAGAGATTTACTCTTAATCCCTGGACAAGACATCTGGGAAGCTGTTCAGATGCAGTCATTAAGGATAGCCAAGTTCAATTGCCACTGGCCAGTATTTTGTACCAACTCTGAAGGCTTTTTTTTTTTTTCTGATAGTTTGGTTGAAATGATGAGATACAATCCATATCCTATTTGTGTGTCCCCCAGCTGTTGGCGGTTATGACCAGGCTTCTAACCGCCATCTAAATTCTATCTCAATTTCACATCAGAAATATTTTCAATCTCTTGAACCTGATGCCCACTGGGGCCTGAGACAGCTCTGGGAAAGGTTTCATTTCCTTGTACTTTCAAAATGGCACATTTTTTCACTTTAAAAAGTTTTCTAACCCAACTAGAAGTCAAACGGTTTGGGGGTTGTTTTTTTTTCCCCCCAAGTTCACAACTTCGCCTGAATTTGTCTCATGTCCTTCCACTGCCCCCCCCCCCCGCAGAAATCTCCTCTCTCCACTGTGTTTCCTATTGTGAGAATAAATGAGAAAATAAAGGCACAAACATACCATTATGATCATAAATTTAAGAGTGAGATACAGAGCACAGAAATAGCCCACAGCTTTTATGAGAATACTGAAGGTTAGCCCTGGCTTTAACCATTCCTCTAATACCAATGTGCCCATTGACTACATTATACAAAATACAGGACCCCCACCATATCAAAGATAGTTTATAAGACAGTCAATTTAGAATGAGAGGGATAAACAAAGCCAAGGAAAAGGTGACGTAAAAAAAAAAAAAATGTACTCCTTGCCTGACTTACCTAACTGTAACCCCTCAAAAGATCACTTTTTTTTTTTTTTGCCAGTCCTGGGGCTTGAACTCAGGGCCTGGGCACTGTCCCTGAGCTTCTTTTGCTCAAGACAAGCACTCTACCACTTGAGCCACAGCGCCACTTCCAGCTTTTTCTGTGTCTGTGTTACTGAGGAATCCAACCCAGGGCTTCATGCATGCTAGGCGAGCACTCTACCACCAAGCCATATTCCCAACCCTGTATATCATCTTTATAACAATTTTTTTTAGTTTAAAAATGATTGAGAAGGTAGAATTACAGTTTGGCAGTATGGCTTGAAGATG